GCTGCCATTTAAAACAGCTGGTGGTCTCTAATTTTTGCCCTTTTTTCTAAAGGCAAATCTTATAGGGTGCTATTAGAACAATGAAACAGAAATCGTCCAGGCGAACCCACACATTAACGCCCTCCAAATGCTAAAACTATGGGAACTGCTATTGGTGATATCTGGTGAACATATTTGTCTGCTGTATTAAGGTACAGACAGGTGAACAGACCCTGAAAACACATTCTCCTAAAGGTCATCACTGACTGATGCTACAGCTCTGCTGACTGACATCTAAATCTATGTAAGACAGCTGTACAATTAACAAGGCTCCCTAAAGGTCACCTTTTCACTGCAAATACTGCAGAACAGAAACATTTGATTGCATTTGAATTAACCATTTCAAAGTACGGGGAGCGATCTAATTCCTTTTCACTTATGGTATTATTTTTTTTAAATCCTTGTTATCACTCTTCCTCCCTTTTGGATTCTGATGTTTTCATCAAGCCCACTCCCTTCTTTGTCTCCTCCGAGTCCCACTCGCTCTCCTCTGTTCCCTCCCTTCTGCGAGTACGGTAACCTGCTCATCTTTCAGTGTGTCTGCAGCAGCCTCTGCAACAGTGCTACAGTATGTCAGTATGCTAATGAGGTGGCAGCATATGGCTCATTCCTTATTTAAGCTCAGCCGTCAGACAGGCACTAAGCCACTCAACTCACCATGCATCTCCTCTCCCTACCTGCCCCAGTTGGATCACACCACACTGATCTCTTAATGAGGCTCAAGCGTTATCACAATCAGCTCAACACACCAGGCCGGATCAGTAACTGCTATATTATCACCTCAATCGGAGCTGTTAATCCTTTTATAGGACCATACGCAAAGTCTGCTCACTTTGACACTGCTGCATCTTTCGGAAAACGGACGGGAACTCTGACAGGAAAGCACGTTCGCGTTCAGAAACTGTTTTTGTGGAAGTGTGCTCGCTTTAATGCACAAACAGTAATTCATGCACAGACACACGAACACATACACCCTCCCACTCACACACACACATACAAGCTGCTATCTACTGACAGACTGGTATGTAGCTCTATTCCATCATGCTGGGCTAAGCACTCTGTCACTCTGACAGTCTGGCTTTATTTGATGATAGGAGGGTACGACCTTGCCTATCTCACGCAGTTAGTCACTGGTTTACAAGTGCACACACATGCACGCACAATTCACTGACATGCCGATTAAACAGCGACTTGAGCTGATATTTTATATGTGCTTATGTCACTGTCGCGGATGTGGAAAGCAAACTCAGACGCAGTATAATAGGATACCTATTTCAGACTACATTTGCCTTTGCTGTGCTTCTTTTCCATATTAAGCTTGACAATGTGCATAATGACTGTAGCGGCGTAATACGTCCGCCAGTATAAACAGTCAATTAGTGCGTAAAATGCAGACAATATAGCTGTGATTGCAGCCACAGACTACGAGCAAAGTAGTTTGGAGGTTTGAAACTGTGCGCTCTCCTTTAAACCTTTGAAAGTTCTGCACACATTCAGGAGGAAAGCCTTCAAGGAGTTTTAACTATCCATTAAAAAAAAAGAATAAACAAGGCAGCATTGCACCCTAACCTTTATAAATGGGAGAGATTTAATTATTCCCTTAAAGGATGTAGAAGACTTTTAATGCTGCTTATGTTACTTTGCGAGAAGCAGAAATCTTTTTCTTTAACAGCTCATTGAATAGATTTTTTTAACTATCCATTCAAATACATGGGACAGAGCTGAAAAACTGGGCTCTTGGTTTTACTTACAAGTATCACAACCTATTATATATCAAAATATTGGATTGTGCAGCTTCAGTTTCAGAGTCTTAGTCCTCCATTAAAAACTGCTCTGCTTTCCTGACAGCTGCCACATTATGCTTTAGAACAAATAGACATAAATGGCTCTAACCAGTAAGAGTGTGTGCGTGTGCCTCTGTGTGTGTTTTGTGTGAGATACATCTAAACCACGCTTCCAAATATAACCTCAAACATCCTTGTGTAAATGTTTGTTCACCTCGCTTGTCTTTCATTCCCCAAAGATGCAGTGCATCCAGTATACAGTCTCACTTAAACCGTGATGTTTGCTTTAACAAGGCCAGACAGCTGACATGTATTTGATCAAAGAAAAACCACATTCTTAGGAAACAAAAATATCTCTTTTTTTTCTTAATTAAATACAAAATATTACTGTACAAAGACAAGATTGCAAGAATTACAAAGCGAAAAACACACAATCAGTGCAGGAATTTGTCAGCTATAATGAAAACATTTTTTCCGGTGAGTTTGATGCACAGCGAATGGAATTACGCATAAAGTCAGATGCTGTAATATGCTTTCTTTGTATTTTTTCTACAAGAAATCTCAGCACGGGCAAAGCAAAAGAGTATCTGAATCTCTACTCATGATGACAGCACTTACTTAACCTTTACTGAGCATTTACAAAACAAAAAGGTGTCATCATCTTCTGCTGCGACTGCCCCTGTAATACTGGCTTTATTCATTTGATATTGTCACCTAAATTATGACTCACAAATATTATGTTTTTGAAATTAAAAGCAAATCATGAACAGGAAACCTCTGTTTTAGTAATTAGACAATACTTTTGGATATAAAATGTCACAACTTCATAATTTTACCAGAGTTTAGACATGTATCTATGTGAAAATTCTTGCGCTACAGTACTGTGCAAATATACGCTGATATACAGCATATATATATATCAGGCCAACAGAGTGCGAAGTCTCTTAGGCAGCTTTCTTCAAGTAGTCTTCAGGAACAGTTCTCCAGGCTTCTTGAAGACCTTCAAAGCCTTTTAAAGGGATGTTTGCTGCCTTTTTGTTCCAATTTTAATAATAATGTTGAGGGGTGGGCTCTGACGAGGCCAATCCATGACTCATATTGTTCCATTGTGGGTTCTTCTGACTTCCTTGTCATGCTGAAAAATGAAGCCATTGCCAATCAGACTTTTCTGTGTTCATAATTCCACCCATTGCCCATCACTCCATAAAACATGGTACCAATGATCTTGAGTCCAGTTCTTGTGTAATTTGGCATATGTCAGCCTTTTCCCCCCGTTTTACTTCCTTAAAAATGGCTTCTTGACACCCTTCCACTGACACCATTTCTAATGAGGCTTCAGTGAAAGTAGATGGATCAGCCAAAGAGCCCGATGCTTCTATCAAGTCATGTCTCAGGTCTTTGCTGGATTTTCTCCTGTTTCTTATGGACATGATCGTGAGATCCTGTTCATCTGCTGTGCTTAGTTTCTTTTAGAACTGCCACATCATATTTTGTCTCCAACTCTTTTCAGATTTTTTAAGGACACATTGTAAATCATGCGAAGACATTTCTCAGCTAATAGGTCTTTGGGAATCAGCTTGTTAGTGCAAAAATGTTATCTTATACCTGTCAAACTACGTTACCTTTGTCATATTTAGGAGATTCAGCTAATAAACTGGGAAGAGATTATGTGTTTTTGCAGTAGTAAAAAGTACCTAAAGATACAATACAATTTAAATAGTTTCTTTGCTGTTGTATGTTATGTGTATGCACAAGAGCGGTTCATCCCTTGAGTTAGGTGATGTTTTTATGCTTAAATGCTTCTTAGATCAGTGTTAAGTAGCTAACACCAACAACAAAAAGATCAAGTACAATTACTGGAGTAATTTAAAAAGCAGGTAATGTCCAAAGAAAGACTTTGAAAGGCCTTCAGAAAGTGTGGAGAACTATTGCACAAGACCACTTTAACAAAATTGGAAGGAATTTTGACTCCTTAGGAAATCATAAAGAATTAAGGGGGGCAGCTGGGATAGGCATCAGCCCTCTGCGACCCTGAATTGGATAAGCAGAGGAAAATACATGGATGGATGGATGGGGTGACTCAAGACGTTTGCATGGTACTGTATGGCACAAAATATATTTTATTTATATTTCATATTTCATTCATATATGCTTCAACCACCAAATTATAATCAGTTTTTTTTTTAAAAGTAAAGACTTTCCCAAATTTGAAAAAATCTCAAGGTATTGCACACATTGCTTTGTCCAGTAACTGTTAACTTTATAGTCAAAGGACCTTGCAAAGAAAAGCGTCTGGACTTCTTTAAGTTGCTTAATGACCTGGATGACTGAGAACCTTCACAGACATGTTAACTTTATATTTAACCAGCAACATTTAATAAGTCCATCCTTGTCCAAAAAAAAATTGCAAAACTTCCCTCAAGACATCCAAGACACCACATCTACAACAACAGTACATAGAGGCTGCTGGGCAACCTAAAAAATGCTTCTATCCATAAAAATTGAGTGTGGAGAAAAAAAACTAAAAAAAATCTGCTTTCAAAGAGGCCCACTTGAAAAATGTATTTAAGATTTCTTTTCTTTGCTCTTCTTTGATAGAACTTTGATAACGTAGAGTGATAGATGGGATTCCTATTGCCGTACAACCGTAATCGAAGCAGGTTCTCTGACAATCTGTATATGAACTTGTGTCCTTGGTAACTCTGACTAAAATGGAAGCAATGTACCAGAAAAGAAACATTTCTGTTTGCGTAAATCATTCTTTTGTGTGTGTGTGTGTGTGTGCGTGTGTGTGTGTGTGTCCGTGTGTGTGTGTGTGTGTGTGTGTGTGTGTGTGTGTGTGTGTGTGGGGTGGGGTGGGGGGTTAGGTAATCGGTTCATACATGCAGATTTTAAAAAGCAGACCTAATAAAAATGACCTTCTAGTACCTTGCATTCCCTGAATACATCTTGATTACTACCCTAGCGCACCAAAAGAGTGAATGTTGCTCCCTCGGGGAGAGACACACAGGAGTTAAAAGCTGTGTGTGTGTGTGTGTGTGTGTGTGTGTGTGTGTGTGTGTGTGTGTGTGTGTGTGT